TAAGACAATGATAAATATGAAAAGAAATAGGATTCCATTAAAAAATAATAATGAATATGAAAAGATAGAGGATTTCATCAAATAATGATGAATATGATAAGAATGAGAATGCTATAAATCAATGATAGACATGAAAAGATAGAGGATTTCATCAAATAATGATGTGCATGAACAGAAATATAATGTAATAAAACTATGGGAAATATGAAAAGAAAGGATGTTCCATAAGACAATGATAAATATCAAAAGAATTAGAATTGAATAAGGCAATTATGAATATGAAAAGTAAGAAAACAAAATCCATGTTAACATTAGCACCATGTTCAACTAAGAATTTGACAATTTCAACTAAATTCATTTTGATTGCAATACTAAGGAGGCATTCATTAATATAGAGAGAATTTTATAAAACAATGATAAATATGAAAAGAAATAAAATTCCATGTGGCAATGATAAATACTGTAAATCAATTATGAATATGAAAGGAAAAGAAATATAATCAATCAATAATAAATATGAAAAGAAAGATAATGTAATAAAACAATGAGAAATTTGAAAAAAAAGAGAATACCATAAACCAATGGTGAATATGAAAAGAAAGATAATGTTATAAAATAATTATGAATATGAAAAGAAAGAGAATACTATAAAACCATGATGAATATAAATTGAAAGATAAAGTAATAAAACAATGATAAATATGAAAAGAAAGAAAATGTCATAAATCAATGATAAATATGAAAAGAAAGAAAATGTCATAAATCAATGATAAATATGAAAAGAAATAAAATACTATAAAACAATGATAAATATAAAAAGAAAGAGAATTCCGGAAAACAATAATGAATATGAAAAGAAAGATAATGTCATAAAGTAATGGTGAATATGAAAAGAAAGTTAACAATACAAAACAATGATAAATATGATAAGAAAGAGAATGCTATAAAGTAATGATGAATATGAAAAGAAAGAAAATGTCATAGATCAATGATAAATATGAAAAGAAAGAAAATGTCATAGATCAATGATAAATATGAAAAGAAAGAGAACATAAAATAATGAATAACATGAAAAGTAAGAGAATATCATAAAGCAATGACAAATATGAAGAGAAAGAGAATAATTTTCATGTCAACATCAGCGCCATGTTCAACAAAGAATTTGACAATTTCGATTGAATTTGTTTTGATTTGTAATAGAAAGTGGAGTATCACTAAGATCAAAGGAATTTTATAAAGCAATGATAAATATGATAAGAAAGAGAATGTCATAAACCAATTGTGAATATGAAAAGAAAGAAATATAATAAGGTTTGTTGATGTCAGCCCCATTAGAAAGTAAATACGAAATAACTTTAAAGTTTCCAAAATACATGCATTCTCTTATTGAATCAGGATTTTGTCCGAAGTTTGATTTAAGATACTCAGCAATTTCATAGTGTTGATAACCCAATGCTGTATTAATCATTTTATTAAATGATTCACCTTCTTCTACCATTTGCATAAATATGTTTTTATTTCCTCCTTTAACAGCATATTCTTCAGAGTGTTTAGTGTATTTAGCTCCTAAATTTTTCAAGTAATTGAAGCATAATTCTGATCCGTATTTAATTGCACAATCAAGTGGTTTGATTTCATCATCTACTTTTCGTGTTAATTTTAAGATTTGGGAATTTACTTTTAAGGTCATCAACTAAATCCCATGCAATATAGTATAAGGGAGACTCTTTTGAATATAAATTGAGAATTGCTTCTTCTGTCATTTTAGGCTTAAATTTTTCAAAATTGAAACCTTTATAATGTAGAAGCGTTGCTAATTTAATATTATTCGGCTTGATGACGCATGAGAATTCGTTAGATATCTTTTGATAGAATTCTGAAAATAAATTAATGTCTTTTTCACGAATTTCCGAAAAAGCGCTAATCAAGTAAATTGCCATATGGATGGATATTTTGTTAGTTTTAATTAAATCTATAATTTCTGCTGATGATGTTAAAATATTATTTGAATTGACTTCCGAAATAATTTTTGAAGCTTGGCTAGGGTATTTGAAGGGTTCAATTGGCTTAAGGCTGCTAAAATTGCATTCGCCTTCATTTACTGGTTGCTCTGTACTTGACATGCTTTGTAATTTTTTTTGGTCGTGACACTTTTAGGGACAAAATCAAGTGTTTCTACCAAATAATAAGAGAAAAGGGTAAATTTTTTTGAGAGCGGTACATCTCACAAAAATTGACATTGTAAAGTTAGTCAGTTTACAATTGTAAAATGGCAAATTTGCCACTTGTTTGCCAACTACAAAAAAAGTTTGGCGCCAAATCGCAAAAGTGTCATACTCTCATGGTGGACCACAGTTGGAGTCGCCGCCGACAATCCACTTGCTGGGATGCTACGCAGCCTTTGATCTGGCCAATCATAGTGCTGCTCCATCCACATCAGCAAGTGATTTCGGCAGGAGATCCCCAATCGGTCTTCCATGAGAGTTCCACAAGCCAGAAGCGCAATACCTGTGCAGTCTAACTGCTAGGATATAGTAGCTAGGCTGTGTAGGTATTGCGCTTCTAAGGATATTAGTTATCCGTTATTGCCCTCATTCATTTACACTACCGCCCCCTGGTCCCCAAAGGGCCAAGGATTCTGTAATTACTCGAGCAGGGCAAAGTTCTTCCGAGATCTCTCATTCCATCGAAAGATCTCGGAAGAACTTTGCCTTAAACTACTCAATTACTGTTCCCTGGTTTTCAAAGAGCCAGGGATTCTGTAGTTGATCTAATAAGGCAGAGTTTTTTCCGAAGTCTCTCATTTGATGAGAGGCCTCGGAAGAACTCTGCCTTAAGATAGCGTACTTGTGATCTCTAACAATTTGTGTGTCGAGAATGTAAATTTATTCGACTAGGACAGAGTTTTTCCGAAGTCTCTCATTTGATGAGAGGCCTCGGAAAAACTCTGCCTAGTGTAATGTAGTTGTGGTACTTGGCCCACAAAAAGCGAGAGAACATGTCTGTAATTCGTTTATGCTGAAGTTATCTGGATGTCTCTCAAATGAGAGAGGAAATCCAGATAACTTCAGCATAAGTTAAGAGAGATGGGTTTGTGGTATATAAGTTCCACCAGCTGGCACATATGTTCCATCTGCGCATAAATGTCCTAACCTGACTTTTCGTTGCTTAAGAAAGCCATTTACTAGGTCTGTTTTGGTCTGTTGTAACTCTTTTTCTTGACTTTCCACAACAGTTGCTCTAACGGCGTCCATAGGCATTTGAACTGCCTGTCTCGTTGCTGCATCTGTTATTTTCGTTCATATTTTTGTGCTACTTCTCTTAACTCTTTTGTCGAAACCTTCAGACTTCAGTTTCTTTCAGATGAGAAGTCGTTCACTAGTTTCACCTTACTAATGAAGAGCTTCGAAGGCGTTCTTAAAGTCAGCATTCATTAAAGGCTTCATTTGAACTGTCTTCATCCGCTTGTATTTTTGTCCTTATTGACCCTATAAGTTGGGCTGCTTTAGCGTTGGCTTGGGCATCTAACCAGTCATTATTAGCTTTTATATATCTGCGCTTTTCATTGCCTTTTGCATGGCTGCGTCGTTATTTTACTTTCTTGTGCTAAGTTTTCATACTGTACGGTTTGGTTTTGCAACTGTAAAAGTTTTTCTGCCTTTACATTTGCTTCAACTTCTTTTTTATACTCATCGCTATCCATATATGTCTTCAGGCTTTTTGTTTTATTTCTTCATCTTTCAGTACTTTATATTGAGTAGTATGGTTTTTCAAATTTATAACATCTTGTTCCATTTTTGCTACTTCTGCTGCTTTTTCTGAAACTTTTTTCGCATATTCCTCTGTACTTAGTTTCTTTCAGTTGTTCTTCTTTCTTCTTTTTCTCTACGTTTAACTCATTTAGTTTCTTTGTGTGTCTGTCATATTCTAGTTTCTTTTCGTTTTCACTTATTTGTTTCTGTATGTCTATGTTTGACTTTTTGACATCTGTTATTTGATTTTTGAGTGAACTCAAATTCATTTGACTTTGAGGGTTATAAGTGTTCCGTCTGCAGCTCCACCATAGCCTGCCATTTTCGCTAAAAGTGCCGCTCTTAAACCTCCACTCTGTGCACCAATAACTCGGTTTAAAAGCATAGGGTTGCTTGACATTTGTTGCAACATAGTGGGGTCATTCATCATTTGTTGTTGCAACTGTTGTTGTGGTGTCAGTTTTACTATGGATGTTTCAATGCTCCCTTCCTCTTAACGTATATTCTTACGTAGCTTACGTGGCATTTTAAGTGAAGTTAAAAAGCGGTTTTTGACAGATGTTTATATGACACTTTTTGTTCAGCACAAAAAACTACTCGGTCAAAGTGTTGTCAGTTTTGTAAAATAACCGTCCTATCTCATTCTATAAGGGAGAAAAGGCTTCTCAAAGTATACTTCCTTGGAACGCCCGTAACTTTTCCTGTAGCGACGATAGACCCTTACTTGTCCGGACAAAGTTATACTAAACATCTTCAGGGCTAGAGGGCACGAAGTGCCTGGAGGCCCCACTACCTTTTTTTTTTTTTTTTAATATGGCGTGATTGTGTCATAAATGATCATATAGTTAGAGGACCTGGTGTGTCTCAATTTCTATCGTTCATTTTTTGAATAGAAACAAAAATATGCTATTCTTTCTAAATTATTGCACCTTCAAATAGAACTTCATATGTTTCCTTTTTACATGATTCAAGAAACGTTTAATTATCTTCAAGAGTTAGATATCTTCGATAAAAAATAATAATGCTGTTTTTGAAAGATAACACTACAAATCATGATTTAATTTCATTAGTATGATAAACCAACACTCAAACCCATACCTCAAAAACTAATATTCTTCATCTCACTAAATTACGCTCAGAATCCGCTGCTGTTATAGAAATAAGAATAAAAACTGATATAGTAATCAGAAATAGAAAAATTGGTATACCCATGGAGTTTTATGAATAAAAAAACAAAGACTCATAATCTCATTCAGTTTTTGGAGGTGATTCATGAATTTCAATATCATGACTTTCTTGGTCAATAGAAATCTCCAATTGATAATTGTTTTTTGGAGGTGGTTCATGTATTTCGAATTCTGATTTGATTGAATTTGAAATTTGTAAATTTTGTGGTGAATCAATTTCATGCTCTTGTGTGGACTGAATTGTCAAAGGAGAATTAGATTCTGTTTTTGGATTATCTACAATCGGATCCGTTACAGGCTCAATAATGATTTCTGATGGTGTGAATGATTTGGAAGATGAAATGTCTTGTTGATATTCTGGTTTTAATGGAGGTAAAACTTGATTACGAGGTGATAAGATTTTTTCTGAACCTTGTGGTTTCCTTCTTGGTGATTTGATACTTGGTTTAGTATTAGCATAAAACATCTGTTTATGGTTTGATCTCATATAATGTACACGATTGTGTTCCTGAAGATGAAGATTCCAATCTTCGCGATTTAGTATTGGTTTCTGGTGCTGGATTTTCTGTAAAAGTAGTTCATTCTCTCGATTGATTTGATCTAAGCGATACCTCTTAGAAATATTATTTCTTGGAGATAAATTCAAAATTTTTTCAGTATTGTAATTCTTTTCTTTAGAAATTTCAATTAATCTTAGTTCTAACTCATGATTGCGCTTGTCTATTTCTTCCTGTCTATATCGCTTGATGACTTCTGCTTTAGATTTCTTTAATGCGGCTGCAGGAGGCTGTGAAATATCAATGGATGGTTTTGGATTGTTGATTATTTGCAAGTGTTGCTGATAGTACTTATCATGGATTGAGGCATATATATCATTATCAAACATATTATGAAAAAAATTATAACTATCATCGTCAAACTCTCAAAAAAAATCGTTAGAGATTTTAGGATGTTTTGATAGCGTGATACATTTACTCATCGAAAATATGGAAATTTTCAACGTT